TAAGTTGTATATAATCACTGTCTCCACCCTCTCCAGAAAGACCAGAACTGATTAGAAGAAAAAGACTAACTTGATGCATGGAATTCCGTATGCATGCCAAATACTGCTGCAAAAAAGATTTGGCATCTGAGTGAAAAGACACCAACCGACCATTTGATTTCTATGGTTGAACACTCTTAAGATCTTACTCTCCTATATTTCATTTAAAAAATTGCTCCCCGAAGTGCAAACTGACTTCAATTCTGAATAAAATTTAGCATTCAAATTTATAGCCACTTTGAAAACTGAGGGTTTATTTTGATCATGTGAACCTGAACAGATTCTTAATTACAGCAGCCCTGTTGCACATAGGGAATCTGGGTTCAAAACAAAACAAAACACAACTTCCACATAGGTTTTTCCACATTTCTGGGATGCTTTCATAGCAGTCTTCATTTGTGGGAAATGGTACTAAAATCCTGCCATGTTGCAGTTTAAATTTAAACACACTGCTTCCCAGATGAGATTTTAGTGTATCATATAAAGGCACTAAAAGGGGTTTGGGGGTTTTTTGTTATGTAATTTTTTTTCCTTGTCTTGCAAACCTACCGAGAGATACCGGTTCCTGCAGTGATCTATGTGCGTTAACAACCTGTGCGGAGAGCACCCCTTGCTCTTGTTGCGGTGGGCAAAAGTCATCTTTGTTTGCATGAAAGAAAAGTCTGATTGAACTAGGGTGAGCCTTTCATTTTAAGAAGAGTTAAAGTCTGGGGTGTTTTTAATGTTTTAATCTCTGTTTAAGAGGTTTCTGTTACAAGAGGAAAATTGATAACATTTTTACCTCAGCAAACTGCCAGCAAACTGGCTCTGCTCTAATCCCACGTTGATAGTGATTTATATTCTCCATGGCAATGTGCTCTAACGTCTAACGTCAGAGTGAGACCACTGTGCTGTGGACGGACTGCATTCCAAATGCTGGAATCACATACATAATGTTTTTACTTTTAAATAATATTCAGACACCAGAATAAATACCATATGTGCACTGATGCTGGTTACAATGGAACCTTGTCATGTCTTGTGAGGGAGAACATTCTTTGTTTCTGATTCCTGTTTGAAATAAGTATGCAAAAGATAAATATGTGCATTGACGGCATTTTGAGAAGGCGTAGGTAATTACCCTGCTGAGGGTGTAGCTCTGATTCCTTGAGATACAGCATTTAAGACTAAAGAGACTGTTGTGTGCCCCCCACCCCTCTTTGACACACACGAAGGCAAGGATCGTTACCTGATGTTGCCAGTGTAGGGTGTAGTTTTTATATTTTCTATCCACAGCGGGCTGTAGTTACAGGACATCTGTGGAAGAAAAATTACTCCGTGAGCACTGCGTTCATAGCAACAGTGAGACTAACATGCTCATGACATCGTAACAGGGGGAGTAACACATGTGATAATGGAGAGGGATGGATTGATTGGAAAACCATAATTCAGTGTGAGGCCTAATGTTATCTGAAGCCACAAAAGCAGAATTTAGGTGGCCTGACATCATCAAAACACAGATAATCAATCTCTCCAAATCCATTTTTTCCCCCACATGATCTTGAAGGTTGGAAAGTTTCTTATGAAGTTTAGAAATACCTCCCGAGTCCTGCATTTTTAGATTTTTGATTTTGTCCGTCTTGGTTGGAATTCTCATCCACCTAGACATATTTTTTAAATAGACATGGCAGAATGCCTTTCATATTTGTACGTCTGTAACAGGCTTCAACAAGTCAGTCCACATTTGCTTCTTGGGGAAGCATTTCAATCCAGGTTTGTGTTCTTACCATCAGTTGAGCTATATTGAATTTGTGCTCATGACATTTTAATAATACTTTATAGATGAAGAAATCCTGGGCATTGAACTGATGGCTTCCCTCCTCCTCTGCACCCCATCCCCACCCAGTTTTGTGAAGTTTGCCCAGAATATATAGTGTGAGATTAACGTGTGAGTCATACATCATAACGCGTCTCCGACAGTTTATCTGCACATAACTCAGCGTTTGGGTAACTCTTGTATCCTTTCTGGGAGTTCCTCGCAGAACTGTTTACCATTATAAAAATGCTCTCAAGCCCCTTTTTGAAACTGAGAAGTTATGAGACAAATATCGAACCTCTAACATATTGTCTCTCATTTTCAGCTTTTCGGATGATCCCTTATCCCTTGGAAAAGGGGCATCTGTTTTATCCTTACCCAATCTGTACAGAAACAGCAGATCGAGAGCTGCTTCCGTGTAAGTCTCACTTCTGTATTCCTCTCTTTGTGCCTGAACGTGGGGATGGGAAGAGGTGGGAATGATGAATGTTTGTAATGTTCCTTGTCTTTTATTACTCTTCTCCCAAACCCTGTCCTTATTTGCTAGCATGTGCATTAAAGTGAGTTATGTGAGTGGGTCTGGCATCCTGCTCCTCCAAGTCTCTGCAGATTCCTCACAGGGAAAGACCTCCAAGCCCTGAAATTTAGATGAAGAGGCACCGTGCGCTGGTTGGCCTGAGCGCAGAGACCACTAGTTTGGGGTGGATGTTCGAGGGCAGGTCCACTGTGCGTGGTTCTGCCTGAGTTGCCCAGCTGCTCGGATGCACTCTGCACAGACTGGAGTGTGAAGCGGAAGTGCTGACGCCAGAGGGGCTGCAGATGAGTCGCGGATGGGAGGGCGGCGCCGGGATGCGGGCATCATTGCCAGAGGCAGAGGCGTGGGGCCGGGCCGGCGTGCTCTCAGCGGGGCCGGAGGGGTTTCCCCGGGAGCCTGTCGTGGTCGCACGTCATGAGCTGGGGTGGCATGAGCAGAGCACACGTGCAGCCTCAGCACTGTATGCAGCAGAAAGAGGGGGAGCCCTGCCCTCGAGAACCTGACGAGCTAGCAGTCTGATGGCCCATGCCGCGCGTGCAAAGAATGATTCGGTTTGCTGTAATACAGCATTGTTTTGACAAGTCCTGCTAAGTAGCTATTATCAAATCATACTGTATGCAGGGATCATGTCCAGGCCCTTCATGTGGCCTGGACTTAGGACATATTTTTCTCTCTCAGATGGATAAGCTCCAAATTTTGGCTAGTCTCTTCCTTGTCCTTCTGCCACCTCCTCTCTTTGACCGGCCCCAGTTAAATCCTATCTCGTAGCCCCAAGGGATAGGGTAAGTCTGGAGCCCTGGGTGCATAGTAAATCGTCCAGTGCCAACATTATTGAGCCCGTCCTATCTCCAGTATGGTGGAGTCTGGGTGCAGCACGAATTGCTGTCTCAGACTGAAGCAGCAGGAGGTCGCTCCCTTGTTTCCTCGCTAGCCAGAGGCCATGTCCTATTTGTTACTTAGGGGTCTGGGAGAGCTCAGTGATGTGTTGTTGCTCCTTGCCTGAGTTTTATTGTGGAAAAGGGTCTGGTGCCTCACATGCATTAGATTTGATTTCAGAAATTCCTGTTATGGGCCCACACTTTACCTTTGGACTCCCCCTTCAAGGAGATCCTTGTTAAAATTTCTGTTTCTGGTAAGAAAGGCAGTTTTCTGAAAAGCACAGTTTTAAAATGTTTTAATTGAGTCCAATTAAGTTTCCATGAGAATAGATTCACTTTTAGAACAAGATTACAGCTCTTAAAAGAAACTTTATAGGAATAATCTTTATAAACCCGAAGTTGAAAATTATGACTCTCCTTTATTTAATTGAGTGCAGTGGTCCAAAATCTGATCTCCCCTCAATCTTTCGGGGGTTGGGCGTTGACAGCGAGGATGGTGTGGATACCAAGAGGGCCGACTGTTTGGAATACTCCCCACATTTTGCACATTCAGAGTCCCCTCTTCGGACGTTAGGGCCTGAGTGTGTCTCCACCCTTCCTTCGAATCCCAGCAGGTAGCCACCTGGATTCATGTGTGCGGGCTTGTCTCTGCTTTGTCCCTCCCTGCGCCCCTCTGCCCTCAGTCTCAGGCCCAGCCAATTATTGTTTAGGGCTGTAATTAATGGGAGCTGAGCAGTCGAGGAAAGGCCTTTAGATCTGGATTTCCACTTGGACCCTTTGGGTTCGAGAGGCAGTTTCATAGTCTCTCCTCACGGGCCAGCCCCAGCTCCCCTGGTAAAAGCACCCCACTGCCCGGGGGGTGGGGGGTGCTCACAGCCAGCCAGCAAGCAGCAAGTGGGGAGTCCACTCTCTTGGCATTGGTGCCACCTGCTTTTTGGTTTCCCCAAGCCCAGCAGTTGAAACTTTAAAGTTATGAAAGATGCTCTGAAGAGCACCAGTTATTTATTTTTCTGGTGATTGTGTGATTGTTGCAAGATGTTTATCAAGGGTCTCCTACAGTGGTTCCAGATGACCCCCACAGCCTTGATCTCCAACCTTTGCAGGTTGAATTGGCCAGCATGTGAGGTCCTTGCTGAATGTCTATCAGGGTGGCTCCCTCCACCGACATACTTGGAGTGGGCCAGGAAAAAATACAAGATAAACCAGTATCACCTCATTATAATGATTAAAAAATTACAGGAAGGTCAAAATCTAGAGAAAGGATTTTTTTACTCCCAGTATATTTAATTCTGGATTTTCTGGGTTTTGCCCAGCAAACACGTATTTTATAATGTGAATAAGGTTTTGTTTTATTTGTGTTTCCTTTTGAGAAAGCAGGACTATACATTAGGCAGAGATGGGGTTACTGTTCCCGCACAGATGTGCGACATCCTCAGACCAGCGCTATCGTGCTTCCCCCGTGGAGCACTAAACCTCAACTGTGGCCTCGGGAGAAGCAGATGGGCAAGCCGGAGGCCGGCGCAGAGGGTGGTGCTGCTTCCTTCAGGTGGCCCTGCCCTTTGTGTTCCCTGGAGGCTTCAGTCACACCTCTGCAGAGTCCGTCCCACAGACAGAAATGCCCTGAGAACACATTTCACTCTGACACTCCTATTTCCCTCTGGATCTTCTCCACAGCGTTCCATGAAGTCTCAGTTTACCCGAAGAAGGAGCTTCCCTTCTTCATTCTCTTTACTGCTGGATTGTGTTCCTTCACAGCCATGCTGGCCCTCTTGACACATCAGTTCCCGGAACTTATGGGGGTCTTCGCAAAAGCTGTGAGTATTTGCCAAGAGGGAGCCTGAGGCCAGGGGCCAGGGAAGCAGCGGGAGAGAAATGAAGGAGTGTCCTGTAGGAAAGGATGTGCCTGTATTGATCATTTGCTCACTGTTTAATTTTCATCTTCATCGGTGGAATCCAAAAGTTGAAGGCCAGTGAGAAAGTGTAGGTTGTTTGTTAATGCATGCCTTGCGTCATTCCACACGCAAAACATCCCAGATTTCAAACAGGTATGAAGTCTGAAAGGATTAAATAAATAATTAAGGGAATCCTAGCAAATGAAAAATGTGTGGGAAATTACTCTGTTTTCTGTAAGTTGAACATTATTTCTAATCTTTAGATATTGGGGGTCTTTCCTTTAATAAAGACGAGATTTACATTTTCAGAGATTTAAATAAAAAATATTTTCATGGCTTCAAACTTTTGGCTTGTTTGGGGAATGAACTGAGAGGTTGTGGAGGGCTTGTAGCGAACAAGTAGATCAAGAACTTGTGTCAAGTGTACGGACGTGACATTTAGAATATGGAAATCCAGTGAGGGCCTTTCAGGAGGGTTGAGGAGAGGAGCTTTATTAAGAGAAGCCGTCTGCCAAAAACTAATGATGTAATATATGGTGATTAACATAACAATAAAAAAATAAAAAAAAAAAAAGAGAAGCCGTCTGCATTGACAGTTGACAAGCGAGAACCGCTGTGTCCTGGTTGAAAACCAACCGTTTTCACCGGCACGTGCAGGGAGGGTGAGCTTACTGATTTTGCCATTTGCCACAGATGAGTTTCAAATGAAGGAATAAGGACGCGAGTGTCAGTTGTTTCCCTGGAACTCCATTCTGATTTCAAGGCGAGTGGGGTCAGAAAGGATGACTTCTAACTTGGCTGGGTCGATTTAATCCCTTTCCAGATGACTGACATTTTCTGCTCGGCAGAGCGCAGGGCCTGGAATTGCCCGAGTATTTTCCCGTGCGTTGAAGATGGACTGGGAATCCCACCGGCACCTCAGTCTCAACACTCCCCAAACTGAACTCATCACCCCCCTTTCCCACCACCGCCCCTCCTGTATTCCTGACCTCCGCCCGTGGCACTGCCATCCGCCCGGTTCCTCAAGCCAGAAACGCGGCAGCCCTGCTGAGCCCCTCTCTCTCGCTCCCCACACCCTACCTGTCTCGGCCCCCGCAGCGTGTCGGGTCTGACTAAGCCACTAGGCGTTCGGTAAATGTAATTCACCTCTTCTTCCCTCCCTCTCTCCCCATGACCTCCTTCTCTTCATTTAGGTCTTGTTTTTTCTTGCTTGGACTCCTCTGCAAGAGTCTTAACTGGTCTCCTGGCTTCCAGGTTCATCCCCTGCCAGGCTGTCTCTCATACTGACACAAGAATGATCTTTCCAAGTTGCAAGTCTGAGCATGTCACTTCCCTGCTTGAATTTCCCCAGAGGTTTCCCAGACTTCAGGATAAAGTCTCAGCTCTTTAGCATGGTATGCAAGGCCCTTTATGATCTGGCCTTGCTTGCCCCTGCAGCTTCATCTCTCCCAACTCTTGCACAGACACTGCTCTTAGGCCATAGTGAATTACTCACCACTCCCAGACGCATAGGCTCTCGTACACCCCGGTGCCTTTGCACGTGCTGTTTGCTCTGCATGGAATGCCCTTCCCCATCACCACCCCAGCTTGTCCACTCTACTAACTTCTCTTCCTTCTTTTATACTCAGCTTTCTTTCTGAGTTTCTCCTAAGCTGAGTTAGAGGTCTCTCCTCTGTGATCCCACAGTATTCCATGAATACTGACATTATCACATTTATTGTACTATATTATAATTGTTGAAAACTTGTCTGTCCCCCTTTTAGAATGTGAGCTCCTTGAGAGCAGGACTGTGTCTTCCTCATCTCTGTATCCCCAAAGCTTTGCACAGCACCTTGCACATAGTAGGTTTTCAATAAATGATTATTGAATAAATAAATGGTAGTGGTTTCTGCAGAAAGAATCAGTGTAAAAATCAGGTACAGTTTAGCATTTCTCCTCCTCTTTCGTAATTATAGTCATGGACTCTTAGAGTTGAAAAGGACCTTAAACAAATTGCCTTCAGCAATAATGTGATGGAGGTCATCTAGACTCTTCTTGAATACTCTCAGTGACGGTGAACTCACCTACTTAACATCAAAGCCCATTTCATTGTTGGATCACTCAGACGTCTTCTTTACACAGTAAAATCTGCCTCCCTCTAATATGCACCTGTTCCTGTTCTGCCTTCCAAAACTATACTCAACAAGTCTCCTTCTTCTTGTAAATTCTTATGACAGCTAATATATTCATGGCCACCTCTAACCTCTGACTATTGGTAGAACATCTCAAATTTCCTTAAGTCTTTTGTACATACCATGATTTTTAAACCCAGGATGCTCCCTAGTTTATGGACCTCTACTATTCATTATTATACCCCCAAGCCAACCTCTGAGTAAAAATAGTTGCCAAAATTCTGAATAGATTAGAGTTTAACTTAGTAAAATTTAAAATAGGAATATATTTACAACATTAGACAATTATTCTTCCTCCTTTAAATGTTCCTCTCAAACATTTTTTAAAGCATTTTTGTCCAAATATGTCATTTTTCCAGTATTCTTCATTAAACAAGCAATTAACACTTGGTGGGAGATTCAGATCAGAACAGACCTTTACTGGACATAAAATTCATTTGGCCCCACCACCAGAAATTCAGAATCTTGAGTGTTAGCACCCAGAAATCTGTGTTTTTAACAAGGATTCCAGCAGGTTCTGAGGATGGGGGTGCTAAGGTTCTGAGGATGGTATGTGCCGCTAAGGACACTGGTCTGGAGCAAGCCGAGCATTTGGCCACTTGCTGGAACGTGGTGTGCTGTCAGAGCTGTTGAGGTGAACGCTTTCTAGGCATCAGAGGTTTCCCCCTGGCTGCACCTTGGAATGCTCTTAGGGGGTTTCTGAGTGACTGGTGGATGCCCCCCTTCCCCCTTGGGGGATGCTGACTTCCGCGGCCTGGGGTGCAGCCTGGGCATCCGAGTTTTCAGGCGATTCAGGTGTGCCACCAGGTCCGAGACCACCACATTGAATGGAAGGATGGATTGCCCGATTGGGTCTTCTCTAGGAAAGGCTCCACTGCCTCCAGAATTTCAGAGCGATGTGTCCATTAGGGATCATTTAATGTTTCCAAAGCTTTGGTTTTGAGTCTAGATCAGCTGATTGAATGAAATAATCAATTTGCCTTATGGCCCTCATTGCTTATACTCTGCCAGGGTGTGGTTGTGTGGTCAGCTACTCATAATTTCCAAATATAGTTTAGATAAATTTGCTTTTAAACCTCTGTCTGGAAGATCACATTCATCTTGCCCTTCCTGAAGGTTTAACAGTTTTCAAAATGTCTAGAGAGCCTTCGTGGGGAAGGAAGATGGATGGCCTGAAGGAGACAGGCCCCATCCCTCTCCTGCCCACCCTGTCCCCAGTGTCTTCCCCAAGTTTTCACCCCTGTCACTGCTGCAGGCCTTTCGAGAAGCCCCCTGCAGGTTATCACCGCCACCCCGTAGGCTGCCCGCAGCCATTTGCAGCTTGTGAAAATGACTTTCTCAGGCCTCTCGGAGATAATGTCCCTGGGATAATGACTCGTAGGAGATGCAGAGAGATTGCACTGCCACCCCCCAGGCTGCATGCAGCTTGGGAACTCTCCAGTCTGTTTATATGTTGATACGCAGCCAGTAAGGAAGCCCACAGCTGAGCCACTGGAAAATAGTAAAATGAGCAGCTTCAACTGGCTTCTCCCCCTGACTAATCTAATCTACCTCCATGACTTAAGACTAACTCTTCCTCGAATGTTTGGCTACCAAGATAAGGTTGCTCATATAAAGAAGTTATCGTTTCAAACCCAGCCCCTCGCAGAATGTGGGAAGGTCAGCATTCTGACCCCGTCAGCTTTGAAGGGCTCTGTCTTTCCTCCTCTGATCTCTCTCCTTCACGGAGACTGAGCCCCCTGACTTCTGACTCTCGTCTTCACTTATAGGCCTTGACCTCTTTGAAGTCTGATATTGATTACAGTGAAATGTCAATTGTCTGATTGCAATAGGGCACCTGGAACTTATTCAGATAAGCAGAGGCATTTTGAATGTTAACGAAGCATGTTGGGAGCCATGACCTTCTCCTAAATAACGGTGTTTCAGGAAAAGGAGGACCAGGCGATTGAAGTGTCACTCTCTCTTTTTTATTAGTCCAGTTGCCTTTTCTCACCCTAAGACACTGATTGAATCACGGTGCGCCTTGGACCGTGTATCTCTGCCCTCTGGACAGAAGTTGTGGACATTGAGATAGATGAGCTGTTCCCGGGCTGCCTGGTCTTACGCATTCAGACTTCACTTTTCAGGCAATAGATTTCCCAGGTCTGTAAGTGAAACTGCTGTTTCTCTGTGCATTGGTTGAGTCTCTGGCCCAAAAGTATTGACTGATTTTCAAACATGCAAAGAAGTATAAATGAACATCCTAAGCAAGGCACATTCCACCATTTTTTTTTTTTTTTAAATACCTCCTGATGAAAGCCACTAACCTTTATCTGGTTACGAAATGAGAGGGCTTATGGGCTTCAGATGCCTCATTGCATTGTCTGCTTCTTCCCTGTGGGTGAGGGATGAGGAAGGGGATGCAGGGAGGGGTCCTAAGGAGGAAGGTAGCTTACTAATAAAAGGTGCATATCTCAACTCGGGTGCTGCAAGAGAATTAGGATCTTTAGGAAAAGTTTCTGGGGATTCTTTTCTTGATTCTCCCAAGGACAAAACACTCTAGATGTGAGGGAGAGCAGTACATTGTCGCATTTATTGGAGGTGTTAGGACTTACTTCCCTTGTGGAACCCTTTTGAGAAGCGCACGTGAAGTCCAAGGAGGCAGGGTCCGCTGTGATTTGTTGGGCAGTATGGGAAGAGGGGCAACTGCGGACATCGAACAGGGCTAGAGAGTCCCCTCTTGATTTGCAGAGGCCTCACTTTTGTTCTTTTTATGCAAGTCAGGTCAGTGCCCAAAACAAAGCAAACAAACAGGCCTTATTTTGAACCAACTTTGTAACGACCTCTCCATTCATTCTGTTTCCCAAGTTGAGGCTCCCTGACGTCCCCACATGTAGTGAGTGAAATTGCACAGAGTACAGACTTGGAGCGATGCCCTTCATCTAACTGCAGGGGCTCAGGCTAATTCGGTAGTTCCTTACCCACTCCATCACAACTGCGATGGTTCTGAATCTGTTTGAGGTCAAGTCTTTAGGATATAATAACTTCACCAGCAATATCGCCTTGTTCAGGGAGCCCAATCTGACAACCCCTGTCAGAATCTCTGATTTATCCAGTCTACTATAGCACCTAGTTTCTCTTTATAGAACTAGGCAAATGCTGTGTTTTATGGAACCTTGGTAGTCTCTGATTACAAACAAAATCACATAACTAGGATTTTAATAAAACAAGCAATCTTCTCATAACTAGGATTTTACAAACTTTCTCATAGGCAACTTGGGCAGTAATTATTCATTTCTGGGCGATAGGGTGAGCATCCCCTGTGGTTCTGTGCACACAACAAAGGACAATTTCAGGTTCCCAGAAACTGACACATATCTAACACCCACTTGACAAAAGAGCCATCCACATTTGCTCAAGTACTAACATGGCTGCCTATTTCTTAACTCCAAACCCAGCTTGGCATTCAGGGCCCTCCTCAGAGTTCTTCTGGTCACTTTTGAACTATTAACTATTCCAGCTAAGCTGAATTACTTACTGCCTTCTGATCATACCAGTTACTTTCCCATTTCTGTTCCTGCTGTTTATTGAGCCTGGAGGGCTCACCTCCGCCTATTTCTTTCCTTGCCCTCCTTACCCCAGCTGTATGTTTTGATATCCCAACCATCCATTGTGGTCCATTTCGCTTGCCTCATTTTAAGTTTTTCTTGCTCCTTTCAACAGAATGGATTCTCTCCCTTTTCTGAGCCCTCCTGGTGCTTTCTTTGGGCTTTTGTCTTCCGTTCTATGATGGTCTATCTGGTATCATTACTTTGCTGTGTGGAGGCCTTAGTGGTCACCTATCCCTTCCCCTTGACCCCAGGCTTTGAGCTTCCTGACAATGGGAGTTTTGTCCTAGACTCCTTTATATCTCATCCAACACTTAGGTGCCTTACAGAGTAAATATATTTAATTTATGTAAAAGACACAACATGGGGAAGGATTCCAAATATACTATCTTGAGTTTCCTCACACTAATGTCACACTTACTGGTCCAGCTATAATGTGTTGCAGACCTTACAATTAGTATTCTACTGGTTCTTTTCTTTTCTTTTTTTTTAGGTTTTTATTTATTTGTTTGACAGAGCACACACACGGATGAGCAGGGGGAGGGGAGGAGGCAGAGGGAGAAGCAGGTTCCCCACTGAGCAGGGAGCCCCATGCAGGGCTCCATCCGAGGACCCTGGGATCATGACCTGAGCTGAAGGCAGATGCTCAACCGACTGAGCCACTCAGGCGCCCCAGTATTCTACTGGTACTTAAAAACAACAAAGAAGGAAAGATTCTGAGGTCAAGTGAATTTTGAAACTTGCCTAGCATACCCCTTGAAGATCTGAAATCCACAGAACATACAGAGCAATCTCTCTCAATTTCATTAAATATACTATTACTTTGACCTCAGAACCATGCCCCCCCCCCCCGCCTATGTATTTACATACTACACTATACTTCTCTGGGAAATTCTTGGTGGTGTAGACAATGTTTTGTTGAGAACAAGGGATTAGGACAAGACTCCATAGTGTAAGGACCAGGTATGGAGCCCTAGCGAGATAATACCTTGGTTCTGAACTGACAGAGAGCAAGGAAACCACCCAAACACCTCTCTCTCATGCGGAGCTCTGTTAGGGGACCTCTTCTGCCAGATGCTGGATGATTTGTGGAATGAAGCTAATTCTTCATGAGAACATAATCAGAACAAATTTGAGATGATGTTAAATGAGTCTCAGGCGAGGTACTTGGCTTTCTTAGTTAATGAGCATTTTTCTCTACACGAGAAGCAGAAAGGAGTTTAGAAACCAAATGAAAGAGATCCCAAAGATCTCCTCGGAGCAGCCCTTCTTTTTTTTTTTTTTTAAAGATTTATTTATTTATTTTGAGAGAGTGAGAATGAGAGAGAGAGAGAGACAGAGACAGAGAGAGCACCTGAGATGGGGGAGGGTCAGAGGGAGAAGCAGGCTCCTCGCCGAGCAGGGAGCCCGATGCGGGACTCGATCCCGGGACTCCAGGATCATGACCTGAGCCGAAGGCAGTCGCTTAACCAACTGAGCCACCCAGGCGCCCCAGAGCAGCCCTTCTTTAACAAGGACAAGCCATCCACGGACTGGCCAGTTTGCTGTCCTCCCACGGGCTCCCATGATGCACTCCACTAAGCAGGTAGTTCAGAAATGAGCATGGGCAACAGAGGCATTTGGGATACAATAGAATCCCAAAGCAATTCACAACCATACAACAAACTTGACTTTTTAAAATTGACTTTTCCCCTTAAAGTGAGTTCTATACCCAGCTAGGCAGGCAGGTGGTCTGAAGTGTCACAATTTTTTAGCTCTTCTGCCTACTTGTCACCCAACTGTCAGTCCCTTTTGATGGCACTAGTCATCTGCATGCACAGCCAGCAGATCCTGAAGACGGATCTGAAGGCCTGGGAACTGTGGGCCCGCTTGTCAGGAGTGAAGGGGGGCAGTCTGCAGCCCCTTCTCCCGCTTATCTGTCACAGCTGGGGGGTGGGGGCTGGAATGCAGGTGTGATCATCAACCTGTTTCCTATAACATAGATACAAAATTGTAGCCTTTGAGACTTTTATAATGCCAAGACTTATAGGTTGGAAAGGTTCGTTCTGTAGCCTTGAATGAGATCTCTCCTGACTCTGTGCCTTTCTGTTTCTTTGCAGTTCCTCAGCACTTTGTTTGCCCCCTTAAACTTTGTCATGGAGAAAGTGGAAAGCATCCTCCCATCCAGCCTGTGGCACCAGCTGACGCGGATCTAGGGAAGCCCATCTGTCCTTCCACTCACCTTCCCCCAGTGGGCTGCCACCATCTCTTCGTGCCAACTCCTCGTGGACCGCAAGAAAGCATGACTCTGAAAAGGGGAAGCCATTCCGAGATTTTAAATCGTTCATGGACCGTCTGTTCCATAATAAAAGCTGTTTTTGTTGTACAAAATTCATTGATGTTCAGTTCTATTATATTTTGCCTTCAGAAAAGAAAAAAAATCAAAAATAAACTTTTGTGTATTGCAGCAACCAGTGTGTCTTCTTATGTCTCCCAACCTTAAAAGTGTTGGTGTCCCAAATAAATCTGTGGGTTTACATTTAATTTATTAAGGGCCCAGATCTTCTGAATGCCCCACAGTGGTTTTCTTTGCTGATGGGACTCATCTCAGCAGGCCGTTTGGACCCCTACAGTCGGTGGCTTGGAAAATAGAATGTCTTTGGCTCAAAAGTACCACCTTTTTCAGCCCCAAACTGTTGGTCCTTGTAGGCCAAAAGCACAGAAAGAGCTTTCCACAAAGAAGGACAGGAGGCATGAATGAAACAAAATGTATGTGCCGTGACAAGTTGTTCCAGTTCAGAGATTCTACTCATTGAATAGAACTCAGTACTATAGTTTGGTTTTGTTTTATGAAAATTTGTTGTGAGAACAAAACTTTTGATGAGAATCTACAGACCCAACAGTCTGTTGTATAACCTGACCACTTTTCAGAATTGCCGTTTTTAAAATGTTCTCTCATAGGGGTACTTTTTTAAAAGTAATTTTTGTATCCTTGATGCTTAACTATAAGCGGTCTTTGAGTATTTTTGTGATCTGAACTAAAATGGTCATTTGTCCTTCCCACCTTTGAAAGCCTACGATTCACACCTGCTGAACATCTGGCTTTACTTAAGCAAAAGAAGAAAAATAAATAACATTGAATCCTCCATCTGAAGTGAAAAGTACCTCTATTTAAAATCTCAATTCAGTGCTTAAAAAAAAAGGACTCCTTTACAGTTTGTTTTCCATTTTATTTAGAATCCTGAAACTTTTCCCATGAGCGTTAAAATAGGCAGTGTGCGGGGAAGGCACCACCACCTTCCCAGCTGGACTTCCTGCTGGCTGCTGTCCTTCATCCAAGAGCAAAGTAAGTGGGCAGGTAATGTTTAGGTGCACAAGGGCTTCTCATTCTTTTGGCAAGTTTCTCTTTTCTTTTTTTTAAAGATTTTCTTTATTCATGAGAGACAGAGAGAGGGAAGCAAAGGCAGAAGGCAGAGGGAGAAGCAGGGAGCCCGTGCAGGACTCGATCCCAGGACCCTGGGATCATGACTTGAGCCGAAGGCAAACGCTTAACCGACTGAGCCACCCAGGCGCCAGGCAAGTGTTTCTTTCTACTGTATTTGTGCAAAGCCCTGGTATGCAGCTGGCTCCTGCTCTGAGGAAATTATCTTGGAAGAGGTTGAACTCCTATATCCACACCAGTAGTGCTGCTCTTGGGGGCAGTGACTGTGTCTGCTTTGTTTGCCTCTTTGCTTCTTCCCCCACCAGAAATCTTGAGCTGAAGTGGGCATTCAAATGATTTGTTGAACAAATTGATGCAATTCATGATAGGTGCAAATAAAACTTGATTCACAGTCTGAGGAAAGGGGTTGGTTCCAGCAGAGAAGGACCAAGGAAGGGTTAGAATTGTAAATTTGGGCTGGAAGAAAATGTAGTAATTATCTAATACAATTATTTGATTTAACAGATGGGAAAACCAAAGTCCAAAGAGGATTTCGACCTCAGTCGGGACTCTAGACTGCAATAAGCTTTAAGTGAAAGTTTCCAGAGCCTGTAGGCAACAGCAAGTGGAAATGGCCTACTGTGAATTGTGAGAAACCCCGGTTGCAGGAGATTCAGCAAAGAAATGTAACACAAGGATTTAGAAGCACCTTGTGAATTTAATAATTAGGACTTTAAAGCAGTTTCTTGGAAAGGGGAGGCAAAACTTAGACTTTGAGGGGGAGGGCACCTGGGTGGCTCAGTTGGTTAAGCGACTGCCTTCGGCTCAGGTCATGATCCTGGAGTCCCTGGATCGAGTCCCGCATCGGGCTCCCTGCTCAGCGGGGAGTCTGCTTCTCCCTCTGACCCTCCCCCCATCTCATGTGCTTTCTCTCTCATTCTCTCTGTCTCTCAAATAAATAAATAAAATCTTTAAAAAAAAAAAAAAAGACTTTGAGGGGGAAAGGGAGTGAATGGGAGAGGTAAAGGTGGGGAAAAGATGGGGACAGAATGAAGACACAGGCAGAATAGAGATTGCTGGAGGAAATGAGTCCATGGCCCCTGAGAGGAGCTAACCACGTGAGGAGGAGGGAGGCTTCTCTAAACTCCCGCCAACTTCATAGACCTTTCCTCTTATAGCCAGAGTCACTCTTCAGACAGGCCGTGACCCCAGTTGCTCCCTTTCCTCCGCGTCTCTGTTCAACTACTCTGCTCAACTCTGGAGAGCAACCAGGACTCATTCTTGCCGTCCTGGTCTCCCGGGCCTGGATACCACGGAGGTTGCTCTCTTTTTAGCTCTTGCCTTGTTTTGCTGCCCCTGACGATGAGCACTCAGGCCTGGCTAAGGGTTTCATGCACATTCATGGGGAGGCGGGCCCAGAGCAGCCAATAGGGCAGAAGAGTTTTTAAGATGATTACTTTTACATGATTCTTAACACTTTTCACCCAAGGTCCAGGGTTCCTGTCTTCTTGCTGAGATGGCAACTGGAATCCAAGTTGCATTCCTGCCTTCTCCTTTTATTTCTAGATGAGGGGACATCAAAATCCATTCTGATGGGCTTTCCTCTATGAAGATCCTTCCCCCCAGCAGAACAATAAGTGTCCCTTAGCCTCAACTTGTATGTGTTTATTGGAATACAAACGCAAACCTTCTAAGTTAAATACTCGCAAATTCAATCTAGCAATGTATATAGGAAATAATACAATATGACCAAATGGGAATGCTCTTTAGGGTTTTTTTTTTTTAAACTTCTCTTATCAGTACTTAGTATCAAAGTCATTTTGCTTTTAAGAATTGGGGAGCCTTCCATATTTTTATATGGCCCAGAATGATTAAACATTGACATTACTTGCTTTTCAAGAATTAGATAAAACTCAGATGTGAAACATCTGATTTTAGTGCTTTGTTAATGATGAATCTTTGATCACTGTTTTATTATCTGCAGTGGTGATTGGTCTGTACAAATATTCCACTTCTTAAGTTTAAGTTGATATTTTTCTAGGAAATTACCATTTTCTCTAGGCATTCAAATGTGTTACCACAGAGTAACACACACACACACATATAATTATATTATTTAATTGTATATTTAATATCCTCTGTATCTGTGATTATTTCTTTCTTCCTTTCTAATTTTATATGTCTGTTCTCCTTTTTCCCCTCTTTATTCAGCCTCACAAAAGCTTATCTAATTAATTCTTTCAAAGAAACAATTTTAGATATATTCAACCATACTTTTTGCCTTATATTTTAACATTTTAAGCTTTTATCTTTATTTGCTTTTCTTGATTTCCCTTGTTTAGAAGAATTAGAGTTTTTCTAATTTCCTCTGACAAATACTTGGTTTATTTTTATTTTAAGAAAGAGGTATTTAAGTCTATAAATTTTTCTCTAAGTATAGCTTTCTTGTCCCTTAGATTTTGCTGTGAAGTGTTTTTTGTTCTTTTCTAGAAATTTCTGTTTGGGTTCCTTCTTGTCCAGGAATGATCACACTTGGGCATTCCCTAATAATTGGTTCTCCATTATGGCCTTCAACGAATTTATTTTTAATGTTACTCTGCAATATCTAATGAGAACAGCAAAGATATTCAACCACATGCTCCCAAACAGAGTAAACCCTAACACCTTACACCCATGGACTACTAAGTAAACTTTTGATCTTTCTTTCCCTTATTTTTTTTTAATTACATCTTTCTTCAGTATGAAACTTCAGAGGCTATGTTTATGTTTAAGACATGTTTATGTTCCTTCCACTGTTTTGTACTGTTTTTCTCCTTGCCCTGAGAGCATGCACTTCACCAAGCTAAAACAAATCTGTGTGCTCAGTCACAGACTACTTGAAATTTAAAAGGGGAGGGGACTTGAAGGAACTAGTCACGCTGTTCTGGCTTTTGAGGATCAAAGACGGTTAGGCTGAACAGACAGGAATTGGCTGCAATGAAAATGTCCAGCAGAGGTGGTGGCTCCCTATCCAGAATGCTCTGGAGAGCTGCAGGAGCTTGGGGGACAGATGACCTTCAGGTAGTGTCTGTGTCTCCTCCAGAGTACTGTCTATAATTCTCTGGCAGGTGCAGAGAGGGCAGAAAGGAAGCAGGTTCTCTTCCCCTCCTTTTCCAGCTTGTCTTCTGTTGTGTCCAGCCCAAGTCAATGTCATCCTCCCTTGGGTCCTCAGCCTAGAAGCTTGTGTGTGACCAACCTTAGGAAGAAAACCTTTGGAACTGAAAACCTCAACTGGCCCTCGTCAACAGGCAAGCAAACCTCAAGTTGGTGTGTGTTTTTCCAGGGAAGGGGGCAGGGGTTACAATTTGAGAGGGCATGGAATGAGTGTAATTTTTTTTTAAAGATTTTATTTATTTATTTGACAGAGAGAGACACAGGGAGAGAGAGAACATAAGCAGGGGGAGTGGGAGAGGGAGAAGCAGGCTTCCTGCGGAGCAAGGAGCCCGATGCAGGGCTCGATGCCAGGACCCTGGGACCATGACCTGAGATGAAGGCAGACGCTTAACGACTGAGCCACCCAGGCGCCCCTGGGATGAGTATAATTAAGGGGAAAAAACCCCCACCAAACTCTTTTAACCGCTTACATCCTGCTCTGAGCCCCCAGATCACGAAAACTTCATTCCAAAGTCCTGTGTCCCGGGGCCTCTGACAGTATCATTTTCCAAGCCCTCAGTGTCCCTAAAGTCTGTTGGCACACAGGAGCCACGGACCTGAGGCCCCAGCCCGTGCCTGGCCCGCCGCGTGCATCTCCCTGCTGCCCCTGCTGCTCGTGGGCCCACAGGCCACCCCTTTATGCCTCTCAGCTCCTCCCTCCTCCCCCTGGGACACCCAGGGCAGTCCCTGCAGGAGGGAGCAGTCCTCTCCAAACACTGGCTCTTTCAGGTGGCTTCTCCAGTAGTTTGCTGGGGCAAAGAACTACAAAATCTGGACTTCTTGAAATAACAAAAAGGGAGAATGCAGGGAGAAAATAGGAGTTAACATCTCAAAGGTATTCTGCCCCTCAAATCAAAGAT